ATTTCAATTGTTGAAAGATGTTGGAAGTGAAGATTGTTGCTTGAGAAAGGCTTGAATAGACGAAGGCGTTTTTTACTTCACAGAGTTGAATAAATTAAAGGATACTGAGTTTACTACTGAGTTGATTTAAGTTTATATTAAAAAAACATTAAAAATGTTTTCGAACAATAAAAAGAATTATAGAACAATTAGTCAGTCTTATATATCTACTAAATTATAGAATTACTAACTAAACTGTGTCTAATTTTGTTACAGTTTCTTTACATGTCTGAATGTACTACCTTTCATTTTTCTTGCTATTAAACAGCATTATTTGTTTGAAAGAATATTATGTTTAAAAATTATACCTAAAAACTAGAATTGAATAAGACAAATTCATAAAACTCCTAATAACTTATTTAATTTAACACACATATATCTATGCATAAGCTACTCACAGTGATACTGTATTCACACGACAAAAGTGATCTCGGCATCAGAATAACGTTAATAATCACACGACATTTTTGTTAATTATAATCGACATGACAGAAAGTACATGACTTATATATAAATATATAATTTCTTAAGAACTCAGTACGGTTGAAGGACAGTATTCACATTTTTTGAGGTCTACTTTCAGTAAATTTGTTAGTAAACAACAAACGCAATAACAACAAGAATATCTCAAGGCAGACTAACAGTTAATAAAAAAATGGTGCCGTATAAAAAGACTATAACACTTCTATGATAATACCATAAAGTGATGATTGAAGCTATGAGGGAGGCTTTCAGTTTCAGAAATCTCCATTCGGAAAATAGTTTTAGGAACGACAGTTACAGAATCAATGGCAACTACTCGGTCCAGATCGGCAATTAAAGAAGATAAAGAAGATTAAAAAAACTACCGTGTAATAATTCTCTAACTATCTATGACACAACATTTATACGATCATTTGGATTAGTCAGAAATCTTTTATGATTAGAATTATACTTGGTATCTATAATATTAATATATACTTAATAACTTAATCAATGGTATTTGTTGAGGATAACGGTCAGTTGAATGAAAAGATATTATCAAAAACGGTAATCGCTGATTATACAAAAATTATTTGAGTACTATTATCTATACTCTGCATGTAGATTATAGTTCTACTTTATAATCAAGAAACGTTTATGTTATGATTATTATTGTCTCTACTTAAATATTTTAATAGCCATAAAGAACCCGTTATCGGGTTTCGGCCTGACAAAGAAATCTCTTAAGGTTTCTCTGCTGCGAGTGCGTCTTTTGCAGAGTCCTACATCAAGTCCTTTTTCTCAAATTATAGTTTTAAATATTTCAGTTTCCAAAGGTAGCCATGGTTTTGCTCCTTTGGCTAAGAAAGAAAACCATGAGACCTTTGAACATTTTTACATTAGATATATAACACAGAGTATTAACTCTAGTTCGTTGTGGCAACGTTGTAAAAACTCAATATTAAAATTCTTTACAGATTCTATTAAATTTTTATAAGTTTTAATTCTTATGAACAACGTTGTTTACACACACAAAGATAAAAATATCATTATAAATGTCACACATAACTCCTAATATGAATGTATAGATTTATATGAACTCTCTCTATTTTTGCGAGAAATTCTAGAAACAAGAATGTATATTTAACTTGTATATTACTGGTGAAGGAACGCTGATGTTATCATAAATCATAACGAAATTCTCAACATCATTTACTATACGGTAATTCTAAATTAAATTAATAGCACGTAGAAGTATATTCTTTCATTGCATTTATCCAAGCAGTCAGTGCTCAGTAAAGCTCAAATATAAAATAGAAGTCAAATATTTAACTAATATTTAATATTTAAATATTTAACACTTAAGGAACTTTAAAATAATATGTGATAAAAAGGGATGTTCCAGTTTATAACACCAAAACTGCGAAAAAAAGAAATGAAACAAAAAACTTTTACGAAAAAGAGCAGCCAAGGTGCCAATTAACAGCACTAAAACAGTTAAAAAAGAAGCAACTCCGCAAAAAAAATGTCTGTAGATAACGTTTGCATAAATATTTTTTAGGCTTACAATAAAGGCTTGAAGATATTATAACATTTTTAAACATATTTGGGAACTCTCCATCACATGCTTTCCGTAAGTAATATAAAATCTCTATGAAGAAAGATTTAAATTTCTTTGGCTCTGGAAACTCTTAATGAAAAGTAATCATTGAAGTTTATGGTAACTTAATTTTGCCACGCATGTCAATGATTTATGAATATTTATGTAGATTTTATAGAGTATGAAGAAGCACAAAATATGTATGTAATTACATAGTAAGTTATATTTTCAATTTGTACATACTCTCTTATTGCACAATCTGCATACGCTGAAGTTGTGTTAGCTTCCAGTAGTGGAAGTCTTATATAACTTTTTATTGTTCAGAGGCTTACTTTGACTTTGTCCCATGCCATGTGACATATATTATATATCATCACTTGACGAGCAAATCTGTTATTTTGTTGCTGTTGTCTAGAAGATTGTAGTCGGTATATTTGATTGAAGTGACGTGGGTGGCTTAAGTGAGCCCTTAAAACAATTTTTATAGCTGTTTCGTGTTAACATTAAATACTTGCACATTCAAAGCTATTAAAAATTTATATTGACACCATTTTAATTTAATATATATTAACAAATGAAAACGCCATTTTTTTAACACTGACGTGGTATTATTATTTTGATGAATTTTTCTTCAATTTGTTTTATTTCGAAACACATTAACTCATAGTTAAGTCACTTGGGTTACCTTAATGACATTTTAATGACAACTTTTGTACTGTTACGAAAGTTGTAAATAACTCATTTAAGTGACAACTTCACAACAGTAACAACACCAAAAACAACAACAAACATACTCATACCTGTACTTAATTATAATTGAAAAATAATAGTGTCAACAGTATGGAAACCCACTCATCATTAAGGTAACTACTACTAAAATCTGGTCGGATTTAATGTCTTTTTAACCAATCAAAAACCAAAAACAAACAAAAAATTTCACATGTTCCAGTTTTATGATTTTCAGTTAATTTTTATTTGTTTTTGTAAATTATAATTATTAATATAATTTCTCACTGTGTGACATTTCCGTCACAAATACCAATTTTCCTAACTGTAACCCCATTAAAAAACATAGTACTATGCCATTAGCGAAGAGTGAAGAAAAACTCCTTCTTTTCATGTTAAAAATGTCACAAGAATTTAAATAAATAAACAAAACTAAGCTAATCAATTATTAAATTTAATAACCAAAAGTAACAGTAGATAATATTTACTAAAATATTTAAAAATTATTAAATTACCGTAGATTTTAAAATAAAATTATTTATTGCTTATAACATTTTCAATTAAAAATAAAATCGAATAAACAGCAAACTCTTGCCCAATACTGAAATTCTCAAACTAATAAAAATTTGCCATTTCCCATTATGATCTCATCAAGTGATCGCCAAATGAAAATTGCCTCTACCATTGTGCATTCACAATCCTCCATATAATAACATATACCATATACAATCTATATATCACTGTATGAGTATTTATAATAGCCATGGGGACTTGCCTGCTACAATATTAGTTCCATTTATTCCATTTAATAGCTTTTTTTGTTAAGTTCGGTTTTTCAAACGATTTGTATACAAATAGACTGTCATCACTGATGATTATGAGTTTAGTTGATGAATTTACAAAAGAATTTCCATTAAAATGTTTAGTGTAGTTTTTTTCTTTCACATTATTTAAAACACAATCTGGAATAAATACTGAGTATATGACGCGGAAGAAATATGCTTGGCATATATTTGGAAATTTAAAAATATTTGGGTTGGAATGCCTAATTAGTATTTTGGCAGGTTTGAGTAATGAGGTGATACACATATATAATAATAACATACATGGCATACTTCTAGTTCTAACGAAAACAGTTTGTTTAATAATTTCGTTAAAAAAAAATTATAAACAAGAAATAAATGTTTATAGCTAATGAAGTGGATTAAAGCTGTATGCAAGATTCTTTGTAGTATTATAATATTATAAATACTATCTACTATAAACAAATCAAAATTTATTCTATTTTAATTACTAAACTATTTAATCATCTTGTTAGTGACCAAAGATACAAGAGAGATTTGAGCATGGACGAAATTGATACTTGATATTATGTCTCTTACTAAACTCGTAGATTGACTTATAGTTCAAATCTCTATTGACAAAACCATAAGATATTTAAAGCTCTATTAAATATGGTAGACATTCAGAAGCAGATCAAATGTGAAGTAGCTGACAATTGTAATATGATTAAAAAAGTGTAATGAGACAATCATGTGATTGTCGGTACAATGTTGTTCGTAGAAAACAGAAACCATCATAAGGTACTTGTC